CTCTGGAGCAAGATGTGTCTGGGTTAAATTCTGGCTTAGCAAATACCTTAGCTTCTCTGTGACTCAATTACATCAACTCTAAAATTAGGATGGTAATAGTACCTAACAGTCAGGTCTGTTACGTACACCCACATCTAAAATGTGTAACATACCCAGCTTAGCAACTGGCACGGTCAGCGCTCAGCAAGTTTTAGCTGTTGTTATTATTAGCAATGGTCATGTACCAGCCCCGTCCCTTGTCCTAGAGGTTTAAGGGTAATCAGTATAAGAAATAGAAGGGTGTGCTGGACCAGGTGCTTTTGAGAGCTCTGATTTCCTCATGTCATCCTTTCACATTTTTGAGGACAAGAGAAAGGGAAGGAAACTAACACTTCTCAGGCACCTGCCCTCTGCCAGGCCCCTTCATACATATACCATTTAGCTGTAATTCAGAGTTGCCATATTTTTTTCTCTCATCAGATATGTAAATGTCATAAGTTCAAAGCTCTGTTAGTCCTTTTCACTGATGTCATGGAGTAGATGCTCAATAAGCATGTGTTGAATTTAATTTTGCTTCCAGCCCCTTGTTCAGATAGCTGATTTTACATTCTTACTGTTGCAAAAATGAAGGTTTCTAAGCCCTACTATTGCCAGTAAGTAGTGGAACCAATTTGAACCCAGATTTTTCTGGCCACTATTCCAGAGTCCTTTTCTTTTATTTACAGGTGCAAGTGATGAGGACAAATTCAACCAAATTGGTAGTACATTTATGTTAGTTGCAAATTGGGTTTTTAAGTCTTTAGCTGGAGAAGTCAGCTCCTTTGTCACACTGCTGGTTTATCTGGGTATAAACAAAGGTAGAATTGCAGACCTGTAGTATCATTTTCAAATAAAGGAACTTTTACTCTTCCAAGGTCGTTCGATCCACCCTGGAAGAAATAACACCAATGGTTTCAATTTATAAGGCAGTTTAGAACTTTTATTCTATAAATTCCCATGAGCACCATTTATTGACCTCATATCTTCCCTTTTCAACTTTGGTCTTTTAAAGAGGAAACCACAGGATTACCTTCACCATGTGTCCTTCTTTTCATGACTGGCTCTGAAATCCACCCAGGTGCATTTAAGATTTAAGTTCCTGAACTTTGATCTATATAGCACTAACACTTTATCAAGCTTATATTCTATTCTACTGTATGTTGAAGAAACAAATAAGAGAAACAAATAGAATAAAAGTCAGCCATATTAGTATATGAGAGACAGACACATAGAAATTATAAAACACAAAATAATATTTAAAAAATAGTGATCAAATAAATTGGTCATGCTGTGGAGGGGCTCAGAAAAGAATTAGGGGATGAGGTAATTTTAAAATTCATTTTAGGTCATATAATTTGTTCAGGAGCAAAGTTAAGAAACAAAAAACAAAAAACAAAAAACGCCAGGGGTGGTAGAGAAGAGTTCTAGGATCTTTCTCCCATTTAGGGGAAATAAGAGGGAATCTAACTGAGAGATGGTTCTGGTCCTAAAAAATAAGTTACAAGTGAGCAGCTAAGGATAGTTACAGTCATCTAAGGGTCGTAGGTTGTGGTCTCAGGATATTATGTGGTAGGATTTAATCTCAGGTTTTAAACCAATAGGGAATTGATGAGACAGGATGAGATTGTAATATAATCTAGTAATAATGAATGGCTGGGCATAACCTGATCGTTACCTGCTATATTGTTACAAATCTTATGGGAGCCTATTGAAGAAAAGGGTTATGCCATTACATCCAAAAAAGGAGAAACCAGGGTAGGGGTGGGATGGGGGTGTCAGTATGCCAGCATTCCCCAAAAGAGAAAGTGTCCTGTCCCGGTAATTGTTTTCACTTGCCCTTAGAGTTAGGAACATGCACTTATCATAAGTTGATTCCAGTTACTCTCATCATTAGCATCTTTATTAAATATTTGTTATTTGCCAAGTACCGTGATAAGTTCTTTTCGTATATTGCTCCATTTAATCCTTTCAGCATTCCTATAGTGTAACTACTCATTTTTTCTAATTGTATAGGTAAGGAAACTCAGTCTTGGAGATGTCAGATAACCTGCTCAGAGTTGCAGAACTCTCAAGTCATAGAACTAGAGTCACCAATTCCTAATACTCTACTATACAAATTATGCTTCTCATCTCCAGATAGCTTACCTACCTGCCATCTGTGTACTAGACCTGCTACCTGAGTGTCTCTCACAGACATTTACCAAGGGCTAGAGTAAACTCATCCTTTCTTCTACCCACATCAGTTTCTCTCCACGTGTCCAAACCAAATACAGCGGTTCATGTATCATAGTAAACCTCGGATGATAATTTCTCCTGTAAATTTGCCTGTAAAAAGGGTTGGGATGTGGTGGGAGGCGGACACGATCATTCCAGTCAGTTTATCATTGCCATTGTTTAGTTCCATTAACTTCCTTTTAGCTATGCAGAGGTTTCCCATATGTTTAGTAGTTTGCCTCTTTCCTAAGTCTGGACTCTGTACTTCTCCACGAGATTCAGGACTAACTTGTCTTTATATCTCCCAATGTCTTTAGTTGAGTATACTTTCTATCTCTAATTGACTATCTTCAGGGGGGAAAATTCTAATATCAAGATTTGAACCCTGAAATAATTTAATATTGAGAATAAATACAAACATAAGAATTACTGGTGTGACAAAAGAAGAAAAGACTCTGGTCAATATGACTATCAAAGGATATCTGATAAGCTTAAAGCCTAACAGAACTTAAAGGGCCAGAAAAGCATCTGGAAATGACAAGTTTGTGTTCATTTCTGAGAGTTAGTCCAGAGGAATGAATGGAACTTTTATGCCTGGGGTGTTGGTCATTGTTGTAGGAGACCAAAGCCCCGTTAAATCACACTTGATTGCTAAAGTTAGAGAGTGCACTTGAGCCCTACAATGCCACTGACTGGTTGTACCTTTCACATTTCAGGAAGACATCTCCCAGGTGATTGGTCAAGGTGTGGTAGCAGATCAGCAGAAGGTGCTGGAGTGCCCAACGGACAATGTATGTAACTTGCACTTTAGGTTTTGCTTTACTGGGATGGTGTGCATTACAAATAGGTTCCAGAAGAAAAGGAGTGATTGCAATGAATTCAGATCCTTGATTACTTAGCAGGAGGTTATAGTATGTCTTGCAACCTGAAGTCAACCCACAACTGTATCACCGATTCTGTGCAAGTGTGTGGAAATATACTCTGTACATCTCCTTATACCAATACCCTAATGAGGTGTTTTAAAATGAAGCCTCTCTGAAAATACTCTTACACTTAAATTTTGAGAGCACCATGCTTTACATAAAGTCATAAGTAAAAAATTTTAATGGGAGAACTCATACTTGTATAAACTTGAGCATTTCCCTATTTTGAGTTTCACGTCTCTTAAAAAACTATAAACTTCTGTCTGTCAAGTTTTTGTTCTCCTGTTGCTATGAGTTTTTTCGTGTTTTTTTAAGTCCTGATTCTCGTTTCTATGTGCTAGTTTATGCTTTCGTCCTGCTAAAATTTACATTATAACTGTATTAACTATTTTTATGTTTAAGGAACTATCAATTACTAGAGCTTACAGAAAATATATATTTCAAACATTGCCAAAGAAAATGCCTTTGAAAAGTCTCCAAAATTATATGCTAAAAACCTGAATAAAAGCAAATAAGTATTTAAAAATAACCAAATTTAGTTCAACTGAAAACCTGTAAGCAATTATTTTTTAAAGTTTAAAACCACCTTTTTTTATGTAATGTATTTGCAAATACTATTGTTTTGTTAAGACTTTATATACTGCCACCTATCTTAAAGTACATATCAAATATCCCTAAAATTTTATAACTATAGAATTTTAGAGCTGGAGCAAATCCTAAACATCATTTGGCTTTCCTTTTCCCTGCCGAAAAATGGCACTTCAAGCATTATCCTTTGGGAAAGTGATTATATACCTTTCCTGTGGCTGCTGAAGAGAAATGGCTCAGAGATCACTGGGCAAGCCCTACAAGGGGGCCGTGTCAGCCCCCTTGTAGGGCTTCCCAAACATTATGAAGACCTTCCCAAACATTATGAAGACCTTCCCAAACATTTGAGTTGTATCAAGATGGAATGAGCTTCCTTGTAGAAATGGAATTTTCCATCCCTGAAGGTTTTCAATCAGAAGCTGTCTGATCACTTATTAATGTTATCAAAGGACATAAAAACATAAATAACTATTATGGACTGAACTCCTAAGTTGTTACTGGCACAGGTTTAGGCTTATTTATTTACTTTTCTCTTTAATCTTCATAACAATCATGAAAGATGTAGAGGTATCACCTCTAATTTACAGATAAGGAAGTTCAAGTGTAAGGAGATTAAGTGACTTGCCTGTGGCCACCAGCAAACTTAGCATTAGCAGTTCATTTCTTCTTCTGAGTAGTAATTTTTTTCCCTATCATGAAGACCTGATGAATTATAGATCCTTTTCCCAGAAAAACACTGATAAGTATATTCATACAGCCATAGAGGTTTTATAGTTCCAGAATTCCCTCTGTGGATCTCTTAGAAACCATTTATTCTGGATTAAGAATCCATCGTTTAAAGAATAAGTCTCAACTTCAAAAAAAAGGAAAAAGTTTCTCTGGGCTCCACATACCTAGGTGCCAACTTGTCTGGTCTAGGATGGAGGTTGCAGCATCCATAAATTTTAAAAGCTCCCTAGTAGTTCCTATTATGAAGATAGGGTTGAGAACCACTGGTTTAGTTAGGTTAGATGACTTATAAAGTCCATTCCAACTCTCGTGTTTGAATACAGTAACATTTAACAGCAAATCCAATCATTCTTATCTTTCATACTTAGTAGGTTGGTTTTGTGTCAGTGGGTGAGTTACAGGAGCACAAAGTTCATCCATCACACCTCCCAACGACAAGAAGGTCTACCTCTAAATATACTTGTTTCAATGTTTTCTTTGGTTTCTGTGGACTGTTTCCTTATATTTTAATTGAGTTCAATTCTACCAGTATCTACTGGAAAACTGTTATGCGCAACGAAATGGGATGCTACGTGGAACTGGGATATAAAGATGAGGAACAAACATTTCCTGCTATTATAAAGGTCAAACTGTAATGATTGCTATCTCTTGTGCTTTCCTGTTTTAAAATTCACACGATTTTTTCATAAAAGAACTCTGTAGCTTGCATTCACCTTTGTTATTAATGTTCTTTCTTGAGATGATACAAAATGGAAGTTGGACATGAGTACTGTAGGAGTTAAGATTAGGCTCGGTCACTGCAAGAAGTTTCTCTTTACAGAACAGGCTGCATGTGATCAGTGTGAGGGTGATATGCTGGCCCCAGTGTGTCGTGGACCCAAGCGCCTCTTATCTATTCTTATTTTGATGACTCTATCATCTTCAAAACATGATGTCCATTTTTTGGTGTAAGGTGGTCGCTCCAGTTATTACTATCTCACCCATTTTCCAGTGACATAGAAGGAGAAGATAAGATCCTTCTCCTTAAGAGGGTGATCATGAATTACACAGTTCTTGTCTGTTTACACTGCATTGACCAGGACTTATTTACACATCTAGCGTCAAGGAGGCCGGGAAAAGTGGTCCTTAGAGTAATCAGAAATCTAGGTGGGTCCGTTGTTCAATATTCTGGTAGTAACCCCTTATTTGTCATTCTTCCACTTCTCTCTCTTTAAAATTAGCAAAAATATGTATTTCAATGAGTCTTTTTATAAGTATACAGTCATTATTAAATGATGGTGATAGAAAAATTACAGGAAAAAAGTGAACATCTGCTCAATTATTGCCCAGCAGTTGTTTGATAAACACTTTAAACTTGTAGCATTCTTCAGCTATCAGCTTTTAGTCCTACCTCTTCTAATTAGCTGTATGATTTCAGATATGTCGCCTGACATTTGTGTCTTGGTTTCTTCATCTGGAAAAGAGAGTAGTATAATCTAACTCTCAAGATTGTTCTCATGGTTAAATGAATTCATGGATGTAAGTGTTTTTGAAAACTGGAAAGCACAATACAGATACACAGTGGGTGTTATTGTTTTAGTTATTACATACTGCACAATGCCTTGTATTGAGTCACAACCTTCCACTGACAGAATCTTGGGGTATTATTGTTCTGGAGCAGTTAGTTACCTTGATCCTATTTCTAGACTCCAGGGACAGCCTGGTGCTTCACTGCCTCTACCAGAATCTTCCATCTGGGGATGGGTTCCCTGGCTAACTCCAGATCCAGAAGGCAGGTCAGGTCACTACCTATATTTGTTAACTGCCTGTTAAGCAAGCATGGGGTCCTTTTGTTTCTTTCTTAGTGTTTTAATAGTAATATTCATTAGCGGTATCATCAACAAATATCCAGAATTACAAGTTAATTTTCTAAAACTCACATAGCAAAGGTCTCTACCTTCATTGAATTACAAATTCATTTCCTATTCTGAGTTTCCATGTCTTCAGTTTTGCTCTTCTGTATGCATTTATTTGCTCACTCATTCATTCATTTGTCAAACATTATGGAGGCTCTACTATGTTCCAAGCACTGTGACCCATTGGTGAATAAGGTAGAGTTCTTTTAGGTGAATTAAATGTAATTGGTGTACCTAGCATTTAGTAGGCCTTCAGTGGATGTTTATTGTCCCTTCCTGCCTCTCATGTTGCTCATTTAACCAACCTAATGCATCACTGACTATTGTGCATGTGTCCAGAAAAGACGGATAGTGTTGTATGCTTAGAACATCTGCAGCATAGATTCTTTTTTCAGTGAACATAGCACAGATTTACGGTCTTCACATTGATTTCATCAGAACAAGTAGAAATTGTAAAAATTTTTGTTTTGCTTCCCAGCCCCAGCTTCATATACAGACCACGATGGTAGAGTATCTTCAGCTTTTTATCCTTCTTCTCTTCCTTGAGTCATTCTTCACCAAAACATTTTAGATGTAAATTTCAATAGGGAAGCGTGGGGAACGGGACAAAAATTATTTTTACTCTCTCTTGTCACCCTCCCACTCTAAATTCTTAAAAGACATTATTGCAGTGCACCATTGTTTTGGTAATAATACAGGAATTTTAAAGTCTTCTCCTGACATTCATCAAATTTTCTTTCCTTTTGTAGGCTGCCAGCCAGGTGAAACAACAAAAATGTTCGACGAAAGTCCCCTTCAATTCACAAGAGATACCTTTAGCATCAACTCCACCATACAATTCAACAGATACAGACTCCACAGGCTATGGTATGATTCTTTCTCTGAGCAAAATCGAATTGACTCATCAAATCTTAGAAAAGGAAGGGATCGTGAAAAGAGCACTGGACTAAGAGTCAGGAAGCATGGCTTTGCGTCCCTCCTCTGCTTCTCTAGAGGGCAGGTCACTTTACTTCCTATACCATTTTCTTCATCTCTGTCCCTAGAATTGCCTATTGCTTATTGAATATAAAAGTATTAGAACCAAAAAGGCCCTTGGTAAATGCTGTTTGACTTTGAAGCCTACAAATTATTCTCTAATCTCCCCAAAAGATTCTGTTTAGTTCATGAGTAATATTTCTTAAAAATCATATTGAGCCAAATTGTTAGCCTTGCAGTTGATGTAAGCTATTTGAAGACTGTTAATTTTCAGTGCTTAGAGAAATTGGTATTCACTTTCTCTCTTTGAATTCCTGGCTTGAGTTATGATAACTGGTGGTTGAAAATAGAACTTCAAAATGAGTAATAAGTATTTCCATTTTGCTCTTATGCAATATAAGTCAGTTAAGGAAAAAAACAAAACAAAAAACATTTAAAACACCATGCTCCCCAATGGCGAAGCATAACCCTGCATGAATTTAGTAGGCCTGACACCTTATGGTATCTGTCTTTTACAAATTTTTTCATAAATATTAACTCATATAAAATCTAGCAAGCAGATATTATTCTAAAGCACTGGATTTTTACTAAAATACGTGATGAATGTGGTTGGCAAACTATGACCCCTGGGTCAAATTTGGCCTATCATCTGTTTTTATGTAGTCTGAAAGCTAAAAATGGTTTTCGCATTTTTAAAAGGTTGAAAAAAATAAAAATATTTAATAAAATTATGTGAAATTCACATTTCAGTGTTCATAAATAAGTTTTGTTGGAATGCTCATTTGTTTACATATTGTCTCTGGCTGTTTTTATACTGTATAAGGATAAAGTTGAGTAATTGCAACAGAGACCATATGCTCTATAAAGCCCCAAATATTTACTACCTGGCTATTTACTGAAAAAGTTTGCTGACTGCAATGTAGACTAATTGAGATTTGAAGACATAGATCACATATTTATACCTCAATAACAGAAATTAGTCATCCTAGAGTTTCATCAGTAGAAATTTTATTCAGTCAGTCATCTACGTATCAAGCATTTATTGGGGGCTTGGTATGTGTCAGACTTTGGGCTGGATTCTATGAGAAAAACAAATACCAAGACTGACTCAGGACTGCCTAAGGAAAGCAAAAGTGGAGGAGGGAAGGAAATGCCATCTCCAGTATCTCTTCCTATGTGTCCATTCTCTTCTCGCTCAAAAGACTAAATTGGTCATTTACAAAAGGAGGATAAACTTTTAAAGCATCCGTGAAATGGTGCCACCGATGTTCATTGTTTTTATTGTTAGCTAATGGGAAATGAAGTGTGAAATACATATGCTGCTAAGAGATCTAGAGATAAATTAGGTTTATAATATTTTACTTCTAATGTAGCATTTTTTATTGTAACTGAGGTTGTGTCACTAAACTTCTTACTCTTAACCAAGAAGCCATTAGATTAATAAATTCCATGTGGTCAGGAACAGCAAATATATGAATGGTACAATATGCCAGACCCTGGGCAGGGTACCTCACACACATTTAATTCCTCTAACAGCCTATTAGATGGTAGTAACAGCATTTTACTGATGAGGAGTGAGCCTCTGTTTTACCCACCTATTAATATCCACCTTGGGAACTCAAACCCACTTCAGTGCCCCTTCAAAATATGTATACTTTTGTCACAAAGACTATGATTATTGCTTAGTGAGAGCAGAACCCCCACAGTCTTACCTAGAGTCTGTTTCCTTTTGTTTTATACCAGGAATTGGCAAACTTTCTGTAAAGAGCCAGATAGTAAATATTTAAGGCTTGCAGGCCATATGGTCTCTTGCAGCTACTCAATTCTGCCGTTGTAGTGTGGTAGCAGCCATAGACTTGATGTAAATGAGTTAGCAGGGCTGCGTTCCAATGCATCTTTATTTACGGACATTGAAATTTGAACTTCATTTGATTTTCACATCTTGAAATATTTTTTTCCAACCTTCTGAAATTGTAAAAACCTTTTTCGACCCTCAGGCCATAGTCCCACGGCCCTTGCTTCTCCATAGGTTCAATGAGCTTCGTGGATCTCATCTTGGCCCCTGTGCATTAGCTGCCACTGACCAGTAGGGGGCACTCTATTATCAGCCCTTTATTAAATTATATCACAATATAAGAATCAAAACTCATGATGAGCAAACTTTGTTATCAAAAAAATGACATTCTTAGAAGACTATTATTTGTATAATATTCTCTTGAAAATAACATTTTAAATGTTTTGATTTTTCAACAAATTAGGTTCAGCCATCTGGAAAACGCACATACGTATGTAGAATTTATGCTAGATAATGGATATTATTAAACATCTTTACTTAGCCTGTAAATTTTTTCTCCTAGTTTGCAGAAAAGCCCAGTATAAAACAATGATTTTTAAAAGTAAATCTTTATAAAACAACAATAACAAGCCCTTTAGTTATGGTGCCAGCAATTGATTCTTGAATGTTGTGCTTATAACACAATTTTTTTTTTTTTACTGTGTATCTTTGGGATAATTTTTAAGTAATTGTTATTTTTAGTTACATCACATTTTACTGATTAAATACTTAATAATCTTATATGATATACTCTAATTAAAAGGATTTAAGCACTATTAGTGTTTTCTATCTATAACTCAGAATCTTCTGTCATACCAGTATTTATTCTCATTACAATATGTCTATATATACTTAATCATTTAATCATGTTAAATTTTTCCATACCAGTTTTCATGGTGTATTTTAAAATTTTAAAAATTTCAAACTAAAACGGATGCTTTTTGAAGAGGGCTGGTTATTGCTTTAATCTCAAAAGTGGCATAGGAATGTCATGTTTCATCTCTGGATGAATGGGCAGTAATGATCCAGCTTTTTCCTTCAAGGTGCTTGGCAGGAAAAGAGTGAAATGATAAACTCATGTAAACCGTGCACTCTTCAAGTACGTAGTGTGCAAGCTTAGCTTCATCTCCTACTTGCCAGTCATTCTGTGTTCAATCCTTTTCCAGGTGGTCTCCAGGCTCCTCTGTCAGTGGACCCTGCCACGTGTCCCATTGTCCCTGGCCAGGAAATGATTATAGAAATATCCAAGGGACATTCAGGGCTTGGTCTCAGCATTGTGGGAGGAAAAGACACACCCTTGGTAAGTTTCTAGGTGTGAGATATATTCATCATTACAGAGTTAGTTTTGAGCCTCGTTATAGCCATGTGTCACTTTATGGAAGACTTGGTTTTTTCACGATATGGAAAAAAATATAAATGACTACGTATCTCCATATTCTGGCCAGCTTTCAAATTTTCCTCTGTTTTTAATATTTAAGAGGATTTTCTCCATCTAGGATGTCGAATATTTTTTATAAATGCTTGTTAGACCAACAACATTACAACAGCAATAGAACAACAACATTACAATAGAAATATTATAACAGTTTTTAGGATGGTGGCTAAAACGTACAACTTATAAATATAAGTGTGAACTATTGCCACTATCGTCATTATTATTATTTAATGAAATACTAGATAAAAGTATACATCAGTTATTCTAGCCTAACAAATTTAGGCTTTGCTTTATTCTGATTATGGTCACGTCTACTGATAATGTTTTTTTTAATTGGACTAGAATGTTAGTTTTTGCTTGAATGATAGATCTTTGATTATTTAGTACATTTTGATTGTCACTAATCGCTAGTGCTATTAAAATATAAAACTTCTCGGGTTTTGATTTATTCAAAATGTGATAATCAGTGCATATATATTTGAATAGGTCATACATACACCTTATATAAAGTTAAATTGACACAAAAGAATATCAAATGAAAAATGTCCCTCCTACCCTTTCGCCCTAACCTTGCCCTCTACCCCAACACCACCTCCAACCAGGGCCTCTCCTTAGAGACAATCATTCTTATTAATTAGTATGTGTTTGAATGAGTATTTTGGTGTTTCATTTGCCTGTTTTATTTAGTAAGGGATAAATGGCATATGCCACATTTACAGATAAAATAAGTATAATATCAATAAAATAGTTCTTTCCATTTTTGGCAGGAATATAATGTTAATGTGTTAGGACTATTGAGGGGTGGGGTGATTCTGTTCTCTTTTTCTGTAACAAATATTAGCCCCCTAAAGCACTAGGCAACTCAAAAACAGCATATGCTACAGGAACCTGGGTCTTAATGCCTTCTGCATGCTTCCTGCTTCACGGTTCTTCTCTCTCTTACTACCTAGCCTAGCCTGACCTAGAGAATCCTGATGTTTGCTTCAGCCCTACTAGTGAGCCACCTGAACCTGAACACGCTCAGAGGCCGGTGCTTATTTATTAAAGGATCTCTTCTTCTTCAGCTTAATTAAAGATTGGTTAAAACTTTTCTCCAGAGTTCAGGATAATTTATTTCATAAATTATTCTCCCTTTGCCTCTGCAGGCAGGAACTGCAGTGTGTGGCTTCCTGCATACTCTATGATGTTTTTTCATCTGCATAGATGGAACTGGGACACCTGGACTTAACTAGCTCAATAGCCAATTTTAGCTCTCAGCCCTTTTATGGGTCTTTGCCTTCTTAAGACCCCAGAACTTTTCTACATTTTTCATTGTCTGACTTGGAATGCTATCTGTTCAGTTTTTATTTTTGAAAATTCTCTTGAAAATAACATTTTAAATGTTATTTAAAGGGACATACTCTTCCTTTAGTTTCCCTTTGAATGATTTGGACTAGGCTATATTTTTTAATTGTATTTTTAATAATGCCTTCTAATTATATTTGATCTGGTCTTTGGGCAGTTCATAGAAACACTTTTGCCAGCTCTCCAGCCAGCTCCTAATATATGCAGGAAGTAACACACCATCAACAAAGCACCAGAGCAGACCACTGTTCCCCAAACCTGCATATGCATTCCAGCCTCTCAGACTCCCCTCCGCTCACATTCCTCTCTTCCTGCCCAATTCCCTCCCCCAGCCTGAAATGAAGATTCTCTACCTCCTCCAAGTCCCCCCACCCTAGGATGCCTTGCCTGGCTTCTTCAGCTTCCATGATCTCTGAGCTGATGGTCAACCATTCTTCTCTTTTAGCTCTCAGTCATATTTCCTCTCTTCCTTTTACCAGTAGAGGCAGATTCTTTACTTCTCAGAGTCTATTTCTTCATCTATTAATGAGGATAGTAATACCCTATAGAGTTGCTAGGAAGATCAAAGAGATGACCTGTATACAGTGTTTAGCCTGGTGCATAGTAGGTAATAAGCAATTGCACATGACATATACCTTCTCCAAGATTCAGTTTCCACACGCACTAAGCTAGTGGTAAGGATCAGAGGCTTTATAAGCAGTAGATAATTTTATATAAGTGCATGTATATAATTGTTATGCTAAGGCCATTGGGATAATATTCAGAAACTACTGGTTGACCCTGAGCAATGGGTATGTCTCCATTCCAGGGACTGTTTTCTTATTTTTCCTAAGAGATGTTCTTGAATGGTAAATAACTTAATTTGTATAAATAAAGTTATATTTGAAATGAACCAAAGAAATTATGTTTTAGGGAAATTCTGTACTAAATTCTTTCATAAAGAAAAAGTAACCCTCTGATTTATTTAATGCAAATATAAGTTTCTTTCTGCTGCTTAAAATAAAACAGAACTGGATTTACCAAAGGAAATCAGAAGACTGATCAGCGTGTGTGGCCTAGCTCAATGAGTTTGTTAGCAGTTTTTTTGTTTTGTTTTGTTTTTTGCTTTTGTTATTATTACTATTTCACTTTGTGTGGGTTGGTTAGAAAACTTGAATAAGATGTGCCCACGCTGCTCTGGGTCTTTAATATTGCATACGTTTATGCTACTAGCTGCCAGCTTGAGGGCTTCCACTGTTCCACATCACCCCCTGTGCCCTAGATGTGAGGCTACTTGCTAAATGCTATAATCTGCTTCTCTTTCCACCGTGAGGCAGCCAATGGAAAAAAAAATTTTTTTAAAGCATCTTGAGGTTCATAATATATAGTTCTTCCTTTTCAGACTGTAAATCCCATTGTCCTTGGAAGGATAAGCACCACTTAAAAATGAGAAATGGGACACAGATTTCATTTCCTAACCTCAGGTACCTCATCAAAAGCTGTACGTTAGACTCATGATAATATATAGGCATGTTGTTTTTGGTGAGGCTGAACAGCGCAGGGTGGAAGGTACTTTAACAAATAAAATCATTGTTTACCACAATGAAGATCTTTTTTATTTTTCATTGTACCCCCCCCCCAATTTTTTTTTGACATGGAACATGTAGCCTAATTAACAGTCCAAGTCACCAGATCATTTTATCCAATCAGGTCCTGGGAGTGCATTCAGCCATCAGGAAGTTAGCAAACCAAGATAGAAGCATACAGAAGGAAATTGTGTATAATGTTGAGACGCACTGTCAAAAGCACCTTTACTCTTGCCCTTGCATGTTTGCTTATGTGA